CTTGGCCACTTGCGAACTGGCCGCTCAGTTTTGTCCCACTTAGAGGGAGTGGTGGTCACAGTAAACGAAATAAAAACAGAGTAGACTGACGCTTGTTTCTCTCCTAGATGCACGGTTAGTCGAAGCAACCGGAGGCTGTACTTACAGTTTAGGACGTAGTTGACGCAAACTCTCAGAATTTTACGATCACTCGCAAGCCGGCATTTAAGCATACATGAAAAATGGAAATGGAACAATACACTTTAATCTTTATATTGAACAGTTGTGTATCATGTCCGATTACTTCCAGGCCCTGCTCTAAGATTACAAGTACATCAAAGAGTGGTCGGACGTATACTGAGATCTTGCGAAAACTCTTAATTTTCCCTCCGATCTGTTTCTAACTCACGTATTGGCAGAACCTGCATTGTGCGAAGAAGTTTCTGGCCACAGGCTTCAAAGTTAAGAAGATCGTTATCAGTACAATATATACATTTTTATCTGCAGACCGAAATCTTTGGCACGGTAAAACAGGATTCGCGCATGCAAGTTTATTACTGCGTTTCTTGACGAAAAACTTCAGAAATGGAATTTTTTTTCAAGCTGAATACGTTCCTTACTTCTAGAAAACTTTGCAATATTTTGCGCTTTCTTCCACCTGATTTTCTCTAAATAACTTTGGGGTGCCAGCGTACAGTAGATGACGTAGCCCGCAAAACGTGATGATGGAAGTTCGTATGATTATTGTAGGGCAAACTAAACGTATTACGACTTACTTGTCTGTGAAGAAGATTCAATCGCCGGGACAACTTTTACTTACCTGACGATTCGACACCCGTCGCGGATTGTTCATCAGACACATGGGCAGAAAGCAGTAGCGGGTGGCATATGCACGGGAAGTTGCAGTATTTATAGGGCATAGTCATTACTGCCCACGTATGACAAATAAGGACAATTGTCCTCTTGTGTGTTGATTGCTTAATTACCAGCATGCGGGCCCCAACTTGCTGAACTTTCATCACGCGTGGTGAAATTGGACCTGATTGCTCAACCGCCTGTTTCCCCAATGTTGGTGGACTGTGCACTCCCCTAATGGTGACTTTCTTTGGCCAAATTGAGCCTCAGCACCGAATATGGATTGGGCAAGTCGTTGCTCATGTCTCTGATGAAGAATCCGCGACAGATGTCGAAACGTCAGGCGAATAAAATTGTCCCAGTGATCGAATCTCCTCCTCAATTACTTCCTGGGACTCGTATGTTCACTTGTATTGGCAAGAGGTTTTGTGCTATCAAGGATAACAACGTAAGGCATTTTCTGAATATCCGGCAACCTCCGATATTGCCCAAATCCTACCTGTTTTCCTTCAAAATAACGACTGAACACGCGGGTTCTCTTACTAACAGGCTTTCGGAGCATAAACTTCACTCAACAGATCAAGACAACAAGACCGATTGTTCCCCAAACTACCAACTCAAACTTCTATCACGAATTTTCATGAGTTAAGTCACCTACTCTAAAAATTCGACAATATTCTCAATCAGCCAGGCGCCGCTTGCCCTAGATGAAGTAAGTAGAAACAGAAATTACGAGAAACATTAGCCTCCGTGAAATGTCATGATTCTTGCTCTTTTCAGAAATCCCTAAATTAAAGTGTGACGCAATACTGACACCAACCGGGACATAAGGATGCCCACCATTACCTGAAGTGTGTATGTTTATACGACAATTCGGTCTGAAATCCCTGCGGTCCGACAAAACGGGGAAACGAAGAGGTCTTCATCAGCAGTATAGACATTACAAATTATATTTTATACAATTACATATCAAAAGATAAACATTTACTCCAAAAAATAGCACGCAACAAGAAAAAGATAATTTATCACACAAGCACAATAAGCGGTGGACGTAGAAATGAGCTGGACGGTGAATCTGTCTGTTTGGCCTGTACAGTCGAAAAAAACCGCCATAAGATAACCAGGAACCATGGGCAACCTGAACGAGAAACAAAAATACAGAGAACGGCGGTGGTGGTGCCATAATCATTGAAACAATGAACGACGGGGACGGCGCTGCTGTTGAACTGCTTGAGAACGAAGACATTTACGCCGGGAGCAGTTTTTCGAGGGCAAGGGTGAAGACAGGGTTTGAAAATCGCATTCCTCAGGCTCAAATCCGGCCGCTATTTGCAGTTCAGCTTCGGAAGACTCAACGACCGGTTTACTGCGGGGCAAACGTGCCTTACTCAGGTTCAAAATTGGGGCCGAGGCCAACGGTGTCCCAAAGAGCACCTTTTTAGGCGTCTTTAT